CAATTACGCAAACAAATGGGAGCACAGCACAACATAAATGGTGTGAAATCGCACACAAGCAAGCGCTAAATAGAAGTCCCAGGAGGAAACTAACTCCAAATGGGCGCCTCGAGTCCGTGAGGCATTGAGCCATATGTGGCTGCCACAGTCAGCAGTAAAACTATTAACCCTATTTGGCCTTCGCAGGGAAGCTCAAATAACGCCAACGAGCACGAGAAAGCTATCAATCGCTGGTCATGCAAACTTTGGCCCCTTGGGTATATATATATATATATATATATATATATATATGCATACACATATGTATATGTTATATATAGGTCACGGGCTCCTTACATTTGTTTACCGCATCATCAAGTTGCGCGTGCTTTGATTAAAACTTGGTCAATGAGTCGCGTCTGCTTACACAATGCGGCGCCTAACAAGTTGCAAGTTGCTCCAACTACCCCCATCTTTTCTCCAGCTCAAATTGGTCAGCTGCATTTGCGACATAAACAAAGTTTCACTTGATTTGTGTTTACTGCTTTATACGCACAACTTATTTGCTGGACGTTTTATGTACACGCCGCAGCAAGTTCAACAATCTAGGGGCATGAGAATGGGTGGGGGAGGTGGTGATGGAGGTTTTATAGGCACCTCTGCAAGCCCTACATGTGCCCCACTGTGTCTTATGGTAATGCAAACCGTATTCAGCTGGTAAACATTGCTTTCTGGGCAAAACTAACAGCAGCTGACAACATTTTCATTGTTTATTCAACATTTCCTTATATAAATTAATTTTTTTAAATAAAACTATACATTTTTGAAAAAATGTAACATTTCCATCAAATTTAGAGAATTATGTGTAAAATTTTTAATTATATGAACATTTTATTTGTTGTCTTCTGCTTATTGCTTAATAATATTTACAAAAATTAATTATTTTTAAGTCATAAAAAAATATAGCTGCAGGCCGTAAACCATTAAATTTGATTGTTTATTTTGCAACTAAAACTTTGTTTACATAATAATACAAATTCTTGTTTTCTTTCTTTCTTGTTTATATAATGAAATAAATTTAATAATTATAATTCTTGGGTCAAGAACACGTTACTTACTTTAATTCGATCTGAACACCATATCATTTGGCTTTATATAAACAATATAAAAAAAGTCCAAGATACCTTAACTAAATTAATTATTTGAGAATATTTCGAATGCGCTCAGCACTTCAGCAACTTATTATTAATATCGGACTACTATATCATATAAACAATCTGTTGAAAACTGAGTTTTAAAATGAAAAACATTTTTTATGTTTTTGGTATGGTAACTTTTAGCTTGCAGACAAATATAATATAAATTTGACATCGCTCAGCTGTCATTTGGCAACCCGCAAAGAGAGCTTCTCATTATGTATATATATATGTATATATATATATATATATATATATATATATATATATTTAGATATATATATATTTATATATGTATATATTATGTACATTATATTATATGTAGTCAAGTTGCTAATGTCTGCAGTATTTCACTTGTATGTCTAGTTTGCCCAAAAAAAAAAAATTATATTTGCTTTTCAATTTATATTCGCTTACGCTAGTTGATTACAAATATCGTATATAGATCTGCTGTGGCCCGATTCGCATTTGGCATTTTCATGGCAGATTGCCTTGAAATATGTTTCACTCGCTTCTTTTCTCTTTCTCGCTGATTCTCTATGCAAACGAAAATAGATACAAAACATATATAAATGTATAAACCTGAAAATATCACTTAAAATATTATTACGAGTTATGAGTTCTCTGTGCCATTTCTGCCAGACACCAAAGAGTTCAGCTACCTTATTTTAAAACTGGGGAGGGCATTAAGAGAAATTTCAGAGCATAAAAAAATAATAAAAATAAATCAAATATAAAAAAATGTCAAATACTGAAATACTTATGATATCATTATGTAATATTGGTTTAATTATTTTTATTAATTTTATTTTTGTAAGCACTTTGCTTATTTTCTCATACAAGTCTTTTTTCCTGTATCGACTGATATAATAACTAATTCATGCTACCATTTTCCATGCAGCAAATGTTTCACCAATATTACAATCAAATACACTCAGAAATTTTATATGTTTTTTGTTTTAGTTAATATTTAAAATGCATAATTATATAATTTTATTTTAAATTTTATTAATTATTATATTATTTTTTTTTACATAATTTTCTGTGTTGACTAATTTTAGTCGACAATAAATAAATCCAATAAGTAACAATATTCTTTGGTCGTTCAATAACGAACTTAATTGATGAATTAATCATCATCTCCACAGGGATATATATATATATATATCCTTGCTCTTTCCAAATTCCCCAAATCCAGCTAATTGGATTTGACATTTTGCTCAAGCTTTACAAATTAATATGTAAATGCCCTAAGGAGAATGGACAATAGGAGAAGCCAATTATTCAGTTGATTAAAAGCAGAGTTGATTTTCAGGACTAGTCAAACTGAGGAAAGTCTAATAAGAATATGTATATGTAAATGTAAATGTAAATGTAGATAATATCTATCCATTATGTTGAACCAAGTAATTGTCAAGGTCATAAGCAAGTTGAAGTAGGCTTATCGATTACGATTCCAAGAATATCTCTTTTTGTTGTCAGTCTCTATGTGTGTGTGTGTGTGCCTGTGTGTGTGTGTGGGAAGACATAAGAATGTAATTGCAATAGATACTCGTATGCCTGCCTAGATATTGGTTACGCACCTCGGCGCCTTAGCCTGGAGACCGTCTGGACAATTGACCGATAGACAAACTGACACGCAGACAGATAGACATATTGACTGGCTGACTTGACTGCCTGGCCAACTGACTAGCTGGCGTCATAGCCCAGCGTCGTCTGGGCCCCCTCAAGGCCCAGCGTCGTCAGCCAAGGCCAGAAAGTGGCCAACAGCTAGCTGTTTGAGCAGCGTGTGTTCATTGCCAAACTTATTTCCTTGTTCTTCGAACACAATTCATTTTCTTTGGCGCTTGGCAACAGCAACAAATTTAATGAGGCAGCGGCCAAAACACTATCAAATGATAAATGGAAACATTTGGCAACAGTATGTCGAAGCTTACATACCCTTGAGTCTGATGACATTTAAAATTCATTGCTCATTTAAAAAGGCAAGAAATGTTTCCTATTTGAGTTAAGCATTTAAAGACTTCTAAAATATTTTTCATGAAAACATCTTTTGTGAGGGAGTTTTCTTACGACATATACCTATACATCATATGATATATGATATGATCTGATCGAGGGGATTCAGTCAAATGCAACAACAAAATATATTTGTTCGAAGTTCCATGCAGATTACTTTTAAAATTAGCAAATCGATTTATCACGAATACACAGTACAGCAGCGCTCACACACATATACTTTAATCTATATATAAATACTAAAACAAATAATTCCTATATAGTTCAAAACTAATAAGAAAAAATAATTCAGTTCCAGTAATCAATACACTGAAGCTAAATAAACAATGAACAATGGGATAACTATAAAAATAATATCTAATAAAGTGCTTAAATTATTTTAATACATCAAAAATGAAGCGTTTCAATTATAGTGGCATAATTAAAATGAATTCAATCATCTTAATCGTAAATTAAATAATCATTTACTTGAGAGATGCATCTTTCAATGTGCTGCTTACTTTAATGCACAATTATTTGAGACTAGTTTTTTAAGACTTTCAGCTGTAGCAATAAATCGAGTGTTCGAAATTATTTTTTATTGATTTATTTCTGGAATAAAATGAATGAGTGAATGAGTTTCTGCAAATGAGATGTGAAAATCAACCATAAAAATTAAACTTTTTTTATGGTATATCGAATTGAGTATTGTATATATCGGACCGGTTCTTAATGCTGATCAAGAATGTATACAAATAGATATATATATATATATATTTCAAAGTAGCTTACGTGGGTAGATAGTATATACCCTATAGACAGATTTCAAGTATGAGTGTCGTCGTCATTGATTACTTATTGATAGATGTTTTGGCTATTGTCTTTGGTATTTGTCGATGTTGTTGTATTCCACATTGTAGTACTGTACATTGGCCATTGTTTACAATGTTCACTGAAACGATTAATTTGTTATTCGTTTCATTCGTGATCGAACACTGTCAGTTTCGGTTTTGGTCGACGTTGCGTTATTTATGCAATGTGCCTTTCCAGGGGCTGGGTTGGGTTTGGCTGGTCAGGTCGTTCAGTGAGAAAGTAACAACGGATTCTAGCTGGCTCGTCGTCAATGTTATTGACATTGAAATTATCGTAAAACAGAGAATCGTATAATGCCTACATAGATACACTCACACGCACATACATTTACTTACCCCTTTTGAATACTGGTCGCTATTTGCTTTTGTCGCCTCCTGTCTGTTTTTGTCGTTGTTAGTCTAATTACTGCACTCGCTGCGGTTTTCATAGATTTTCAATACACCAGATACAAATGTAATGGAATTGAACGACAAAATTACCAAAAAGTCAAGCTTAAGATTGTGCTTAGCCAATATCGGATATAACCATTTTGATTTATGAATTGTATTTTTGTAACGAGTTGATAACTGTAATAACATTCCTGATTTGCTATTAAAATTTAATTACTTAAAAAAACATTAAACAAAATCAGTATATTATTATTCAGAAGCCTTAAGTATTTTTTTTAATGTCGACTATCATAAAAAATACAGTAAACAATTAAAATGTAATACTTATGAATCTTGAATTTCAATTATAAAGAATGTGGGTATTTAAATGCACATATGCAGGAAATATATTTATATATATAAACAAGTATATTTTTTATTTATGCATTTAATTTGATTTAACTTTGAAAATGAATGCTACAAATTTTTGCAATTCCCTAATATTTGAATACTATAACTAAACGTAAATTTAAGTTTGAAAATGGGCAATAAATTGATAAAATGTGTATCTCTTTCTCATCCACAGGACAACTGATCACATTTTATACGATCTTCTATATTGTCCTTACCATAATGTTCACGATTTGCATGCAGGTAATGCTCTCCACGATTAACGAGCATCATCCCAAATGGAAGCTGGATGAGTCGCTGATAGGCACCAATCCCGGCATGGGACTGAGGCCTCTCAGCGAACAAACCGAACGCGGCTCGGTTATTCGATTCAATAAAAATAAGCCGAAAGAGGCTGCATACTGGACGGAGCTGCTCGATGACTTCTTGAAAGGTATTGATTATCGAAGTTCTTTATATTTATATAGATAATAATATATGTATGTTGTCTACAGATTATAATCATACTGAGGGTCGCCAGATGAAGCATTGTGATCCTAGCCAAGTTCACAATCCCGACGATGTGTGCGTCGTCGATATTGCAAAGTTTGGACCCTGCTCATCAGCCAATAGCTATGGCTATAGGACGGGCACACCCTGCGTCTTCCTCAAGCTGAACAAAATCTTTGACTGGGTGCCCGAGGTTTACGATACTGTCGATGGCAGCACACCAGCCGAGTTGAGGGACGTTCTTACGAGCACGAAAGTCGAAGAGGTATGTAACTAAATATGTATACAGAAAACGCAAGAGTAAGAAACGTGATTACTTAACGACAAAGAAATGCATCTACAATATCGGTTTAAAATACAAAGAAATACAGGATAACTATCTCCCTAAGCAGAATACAATTTCATAAATATACATTTATAATTTATTATAAGTTTCCTTAAGTTATTCAATTCAAACTAATTCACTGCTATTACAGCGCAAACAAATCTGGGTGACATGCAATGGACACTATGGCAAGGATAAGGAGCAGTTCAACAATATTACGTACTATCCCAGCCAGGGCTTCCCCGCCTACTATTATCCGTATCAGAATCAGCCAGGATATCTGAGTCCCGTTGTTGCCGTGCAAATCGTCTCGCCGCCGGATCACGAAATGCTGGAGGTTGAGTGCCGTGCCTGGGCCAAGAACATCATCTACAGTGGCAGCTTACTAGATCGCCGGGGCTCGGTTACCTTCCAGTTGATAGTGGACTAGGAGAAGAGGCGATGGTCAACTACAAACAACTTGTGATTGCAACAACCTAAGCCAGCCTTATGGGGAAATAAATCGACATCGGTTGCTAAACTAAAATCTGAGACCAACAAAGAAATAAAAAAAACATTAAAAAAACAGCAACCATTAAGAAAAAAAAACAGCAAAAAGAAGAGTTAACTTAGAGCTTAGGCGCTTTCATGTTTTAAATGTATTGTACATATATTTATATGAGGAAAATCAAAAATATATCGACGAGAGAGTCAATAACAGAAATCTGCCCGCATCAGAAGAAAATTAAATATGAAATTATGAAAAGAAAAAAAAAAACAGAAAGAAATAGGATATAATGAATATTGAAGCGAGAAATTCACAAAAGTTCAAATCGTACACCCGCAATTGTTGTTATAGCTTCCGGCTTGTCTATTGCTATAAGTTAATATTTACAAATAATATTTAATTTATAATTTTATAAATTCCTGTAATAATATGCTTAATTTTGTCAGTTGTATTTAGTTTGTATTTATATATGTTATTATTGCCTTTTATTTTTTGTTTGTCCTTTGAGTTTCATTATTATTTGTAAAAAGTTATAAAAAAAAAACCAACACACAGAATAAAACGTTTATTTGTTAAATTAAATTCACCCAAATAGGCGAATATATATATTTTTTTCAAATATTTAAACACAAATCCTAGCAAAGCTACGTAAATAATTTATTTGTTAACAATTGCCGTGCTTGTGGCAAAAAGTATTGAAGAAAAATATATATGTATATCCCTTAGTTCAATTTTAGAAATAGCAGAAACAATAACAAAATTAATTCCAGGCATGTTTTTGAATTAATTCTTAAGCCATTTTGAGATTTAAATTAATGGAAAATTTTAAGAAATTTCTTCTCTGTTGCATTATTTAATAAATAAAAAACTCAACTAAGAAATTTTGTGTTTTATTTTATATGCTTTTTTTTTAGTGTTATTTCAGCTAATAAACAAAATAATGGGTGAGTTATTTTGAAAATTGCCCCAAGCCCAAACACGCAAATAATTGAGTTAATTTTTTAGGCGATGTGGCAACGCTGTCGGCTCACTCGATTGCTGAGGCGCTGCCAACTTGCTCAGCGCACAGCTGATGCGCATATCAATTGAGCTGACAGCTCGTCGATATATAGAGCAAAAAAAAAGAAATTCATCGGAATTTTCATGCTATTGTCAGCTTTTAGCTGTTTACGCTATAAAAACTGCGACAAATTCCAATTGAAAACGAAAACGAAAGTCAAAAGGCTGCTGCAGCAACAACGAGAGCTTCTCGTACACCTCAGCGAGCGGAAGTGGGCGCTGTGAACGGCACTAAGCATGGAGCAAACTATAGACGTGGGCTGCGTCAAAGAGGAGCACTGTGAGGCAATCTGCAATATGTTCAAATCCCAGGATTGGCAGCTGACCATGCGACACAGGGACTTGGGACAGCTGGTCAAGATTGAGCAGGACATGAGCTTTGTGTGGCAGAGTGGCACGACCAGTGCTGCCACAGTTGACAACAAGGAGCGACATACGGAGAAGCATTCACAAAAAAAGTGAGTACAGTAGTCGCTCGCCAAGTAAGAATTGTCCGCAATCACAATCGTTGTTTTAATCAGAAATTGTAGTCCCATTTTTAAATACACCAGAAATCTGTGTGAAAGCCTTAAATTTCAAATATAGCTTACAAAAAAATATTCATTATTAATTTGATATGTTGAATTATTTTATTTTATTTACTGTCAACTAAAGCCAGAAGACAGAAAAATTTAAGAAAAAATACGTCGAGTAAAACATAGATTAAATTAAATTAAAAATAATATTGTATATTATATTTAAATTAAAAAAATTATAAATATTTATAGGATTTACAAGATTTTTTGGGGTATTTAAATGAAAAATTTGACTTTATCCTCAAATTAAAATATAGATTTTGATATTTTAGTTGCGAGCTCTACTTTTATGAATGTCATATATTAAAAATACAAATGAAATATCTTTTGCTGCTCAGATTCCAAAACAGTGTCAAATCACAGTTTGGTGGGACGGTGGGCGAAAAGCCATTTAAATGTGCCCACTGTGGAAAGGACTTTGCGACGAGCAGCAATCTGAAGGTGCATTTGACGCGCACACATTCGGGAGATCGTGAGCGTCCGTTTTTGTGCCCCACCTGCCCCAAATCGTTTGCCACCAATGACAATCTGCAGAAGCACATTCGGCGCCATTCGAATGAGCGCACCTTGAATTGCCCACACTGCCCCAAGGCATTTGCCACCAAGGATAATCTGCAGAAGCACATACGACGGCACTCCAGTGAACGCACCTTGAACTGCCCGCATTGTCCCAAGGCGTTTGCCACCAATGATAACCTGCAGAAGCACATCCGACGGCACTCGAGCGAACGAACTCTGAATTGTCCACACTGCCCCAAAGCGTTTGCCACCAACGATAATCTGCAGCGACATATTCGTGGGCATACGGGTGAACGTCCGTTCAAGTGTCCGTATTGCCCGAAGCCATTTGCCCAGAATCGAGATCTCAAGGCGCACATCCTGGAACACACGGGAGAGAAGCCGTTCAAGTGTCCGCACTGTCCGAAGGCGTGTGTCCGCAGCGAGGGACTGAAGAAGCACATCTTGCGTCTGCACAAGGACATCGAACCGGAGCAACGACTGACCGCCAATAATGCGACAACCAAGCAGTGAGTAAATCACAAAAATATATATATTTAAATCTATTGTTAACCTTATTCATCTCCAAACAGATGGCAGCCTGGCGACAAGTCCTTCATCAACGACACCAGCGGCAGAATCTTTATGTACAAATACGATTTAAGCAAAAACACACGAATTCCAACCGGTGAGGCGTAAACAACTCTCTCAAGGCTCTCAAGGTCCAGAATCAATCCGGAACTCCAGCGACTTTTGTCACAAGTGAAACAACTTGCAACCAAAATGGCAAACAGCAAAAGAATGCATTTGATTTTTGAGCTTCATCAACTTGGCTACTGATGACGATGATGAAAACTAAACATTTTATGTAGCTCTAATGGCCAGCGAGATCGAAAGGCTTCCTCCATATACGAGGCAGAAAAACCATATCAAGTTTGTTTGATGTGCTTGGCAGGGGATTTCAAATAAGTATGAGGAATTCACTTGATGTAAATATTTTTTGGGCTAAAGCAATAGTTTATTTTGCAAACAAAATAAAACGCATTTTACGGCTATTAAATAAAACATAAATAAATTACAAACAAAATTGTGTTATAAATTTGCACCTGACTGAAAATTAAAACCAACCGAAAATGAGAAGGTTTTGAATTAGTTGCAGTTTTCAATAAATAAAAATTAAATGCGTTTCAGAGATAACCAAAAAGAACCTAAAAGTTTGGGTAACATTTAATTTAAATTCAAGCAAACTGCGACTTATGTATTAATAATTGTCTAAAATTCCAAGCTGATCTAGAAAATAATGTAAATTAAATTTAATGGAATATGTACATAATTTTCAAATCTCAAAATTGAAGCAAAATAACCAAAAAGATTTGTTAACCAAACGGAAATTTAGATTCAATAAAACTATTAATGTATTTTCTTCAAATTTCGATATCCCAGCAATCTTATGCTTAAGTCAAGTAAATAAATTAAAAACAACAATTATCATTTCAACTTTGGTTAGTACAAATTAGTTTTTAGTGTACTTTGGTTGAACTTTATTAGTAGGTATTCATTAAATGTGTGTTTTATTGTACCTATATTACAGAATATTTGTATAGTTAATTATTGGAGTTGGGTGTTGGTTTTGATTGAGAACTGATTCTCAATGCATTTGGAATTTTTGATTATTTTTTGTAGTACTTTGTCATTTTGCTAAACTTAATATTCATTTTGATATAGTATAAAGTAATCACAAAATATTATTATCACAATTTGCGGATATAAATATTGTTTTCTTTTCATATTTGCTAATTGTATTTAAATATACATACACACATCGTATGATTTATGTAAATATATTGTATTTACCTTCGGTTTCAATTTAGTCAACAATGCGAGTAAAAATTCGAACTACATACGAGTACAATATTACATCAAGATTAGTTTAAACATTAATGTTTTTAGTGCTCTGTTAAAGTCAAAAAGTTAAATTTAGTTGAGACGAAATTTGAAATATTTAGATAGTTAAACTATTAGTGCTGGGGGGAGAGGGGCATTTAAACCATCTTAGGCATTGCTATGTTAGACAAGTCATCGCACAAGGCACACACACACACGGACAACACAACAACACACGCACAACACACACACACACTTTAAGTCTGCCGAGCGCCCCACAGTTCCGTCTCATGATACATACGATAAATATTGTCCCTGACCAGCTTGGCTTTGTCTGCAATATTAATAGGGGAGTGTTAGTTTTTTGATTAGTGCGGTTTTGATTAGGGAGAAACATATATTCAGAAATTATTTTTAAACAATATAAAAAAATTTAACAAGAATTCTAGACACATATTTTGCTCATATTTAAATTAATTTTAATGTTGAAATTATTATTATTTTTATTATTCTTATTATTATTATTTATTTGTTCTTTTGTTATTATTACTCTTATTTATAAAATATATTATTCTGAAGATTATTAAATGTCGTATGATTAATGATACTGTAATTTCAAACCTCGCATAATTTTTCTTACAAATATCTTTATTCTTATACAATTGGAAAACCATCTATAGGATCTATAGGAAAAATCTTCCACAAGCATAACTCAAATACTATTGTAAACAAATATTATTACAAAACTTTATAAAAATAAAATTAAAATATATTTAAATATCATAAACCATATACAAAAGTATGAACAGCAAAAGATTTCATTATATTCGAAAGGCTAAAAAAATAATAATAAAGAAATAAATATATTTTTAAATGTCAAACAATATTTATATAAAAAAATATGAACAGAAACAGATTTCTTTAGCACCTAAAAGCAAAAAGGAAAAAACAAATTAAATAAGTAAAAAAATATTTTAAAATGTCATATAAAGCATAATATAGCATATATTAAAATATGAACAGCAACCGATTTGTTTGGTACTCACCCTTGGAGAGATTGAGGGCCACAACATGTTTCTTTAGAAATTCGAGGCACACTGCTTGGCTGGTGCCCAGGGAGTGCATGTTGCACGTGAATGCACTGCAATTTAGAATTGCCTTAGTAACTCGAATTGGGGATGTGATTAATCTCTGCTAAACACTTACCCCAATTGCCGAAATGCAATATCCTCCTGTTCCTTGGCCGATTGCGGCTGTGCCTGCCCCAAACTGCATTTGCTCGTCTTGCGTTTATTTGTTGCCGGTGTCGCCGTCGTCGTCAACGGTGTGGTTGCCGCTACAGTTGCAGCTGCAGCGCCTGCATGATGCGAGGAGCTGGAGGATGAATCAATGCCATGTTTGCGAGCGACAGCAGTTGCTGCCTCTGCTCCTGCCCCTGCTGCTGTTGCTGCTGCTGCGTCAAGGCGCTGCTGCTGCTTCGCCTGCCGTCGCTGCTGGCGTCGCAGCAGCGAACTAAGCCGATGCTCCCGCTCCGCCTGCATGGAGTCGACGAAGATGGCGTTCCAGAAGCGCGGCTGCTGCCACAACGGCTGTTGGCGCAACAATATAAACAGATACTCGCGATACGCATCGCAGCCAGGAACTTCAACTGCAATATCAATTTGAAAGGACATTTAATTAACTTGTACAATTTATAATTTATAATTTGTTTAGAAATTCTGAGAAAACAGATAAGTTCCTCATAAAATAACTCTGATCGTCCTATCTATCTTAGTCATCAGTCGTTGTTTTACTGATAATTATTAAACATTTGTATTTTTAGACTTTAAATATTCACAATCATTTTCCATGGTTTATAAATGCATATAACTTAATTTTAAAAAGCCAGCTAAACTCGAATATAAAAGACAAGCCAGTAAATTGTATTATTTGTTTCTGAATTTTAGAAAGGATCTTTCTAAAAATTATGGTTTCTATTCTATTTTCGGAAATGTATTTCTTTATATTAGCAAATATTTAAAAAAAAAAATAGAAAATAATCGCCATATTTTTGAGATTGTTGATTTGGGACAAGCTCTTCTAAATTTTAATATTTAGAATTTATTTCTTAAAAATACCCATTTTGAAAAGGACCATGGTATAAAGAGAAGATTTAGAGATTTACCTTCATGATAGAACAAGAAGCAGAGATTCATGAGGATCGCCGCTGGAGCATAGTCCTCGCACTCGCCACACTCGAAGAGGGCCAGGGCAAAGTATTGGACTAAAGCATTGAAGGTTAAGGTTTCGAGACGCTTCGACTTGTTGCGCTGCTCGCTGAGAAACCTGGTGAACCAGAGTCGCCCAATCTCCAAGCGGAGCAGGACGCCAAACTCTGACTTGAGCTCCAGATTGAGAGCCGATGAATTGTTGAAGAGAAGCTGTGTGAAATGTTTCATGAACTCCTTGACGGGTTCCTCGCCGGCGCGACAATCCAAGCTAATCGAGGATGCCCACGAGGGAACCGAGTTCTGTGACTCGGAGCGTATGAAATGGCGCCAATCACTCGACTCCATGCTGGGACTGGCCTGCAGCTGATCGGGCAGCTCGTCCCGCAGGCTGGTCAGCGTGCTGCTGTTCGAGGCGCGACTCCTTGCCGCAACACGTATCGAGTTGCCCCACGGCTGGCGGGCGGGTGGCACGGCACCCGTCTCTGTGGGTGGTTGCACATCGATTTGTGGCGGCATCGCCGTCGCCTCGAGCAGCTCCCCAATGCGCTGCACATCCTTCTGCATGTCCAGATCGCTGCGTCGGGCTCCCGCGATGGCCCGATGCCGCTCGTAGCCGCCCGAGTGCCTCGACTCGAATTCCAGCGAATTCGAGTGCGTCGTGCTGCTGACGTCATGCGATCGAGCCGGCGTCGGCTCGGGCAGCGAAAGCGAACTGCTGTCATCGCTGCTGCTGCCGCCACCGCCGCTGCTCGAAGATGAAGGCGAACTGGAGCGCAGTTTGTTCGCATGGCGACTGCGCGCATGCTCCAAGCGTGGACCTAAATGAGTACATTATTAACAGCTTTTACAAGAAGAGAAGAGGAAGCAGAGCTTACGCGGCGCCAAATTGGGCTGCCTGTAGCGACCCGAGATGATCTCTTCGTGTGCACGACGAGCTTTCACGCGACGCGCCTCAAAATCGATCTTCGTGTAGTCAATTGTCTCATCATCTGCACAGAGATAGAGAGAGAGATAGGTTGAGGGAATGAGAGACAGCGAGAGAGGGAGTGGTTATTGAGCTCACTTACACTTCGGCAAGTCCTCATCGTCGTCATCGCAATAATCCGAATCGCTACTGCTGCTGCTCATCGTCAACTAGAGTGAAACAAAAAAAACGGGAAAGCTCCGTTGTCAGTTATAAAAGTGTTGCCAGTTTTTGATACATGTGCATGAATGAATGGCAGCACTGTAATAAAACAAAATGGCGATTCATATTTGAGAGACAGAGAATTAAGTAAAATAACATTAAAAAAATAAATTAAAATTAAAGAAATGAGAAATATGGAAAGTTTAAGGCATATTCAGATATGATACAAAATATTCAAAGATTCCTAGAGATTTAGTTTTAGAGCTGAGACACTCATTCCCATGAAATCAGTCAGAAGGCTCAATAATATATTTGCATTTGAATACCCCAGAAATCTTAAAAATCAAATTTATCTATTTTTTACCTTTTGTATTATTTGAAATTTGTAATTTCCAAGGCAAACGTTGCCATAGAAATCTGACAAAAACAGTTCACTTTCAATAGAAATTGCAAAACAAAAGCGCCGCATAAATCAAAAAAAATGATAAAGCATTTTTTTTTTTTTGAGTGTGACCTTGGATTAGCGATGCAGTTGGCAAGTGTCTCTAAAGAAGGACAGAACCAACTAAATTGATTGCTTTTCCACTTGCAGCACTTGCTCAAGGCGAACAAGAAGAGCGAAAGGGAGAGAGAGAGAGAGAGAGATAGAGACAGACATAATCCATAATTAACGGCTGAACAAACACGTCGACTAACACTCATATAATTAAATTCGATCAAGGACAAGTGAGGGAAATAAAGGGAGATAGCTGCGTTGCAAGGCTGACAGGCAGAGTCAAGTGGAACGGCAACAACAGCAATAATAATAATATCCGGGCCAAGTGAAGGTCAAACGAGTGCAGCAGCAACAAAAACTATCAAATGTGTCAGTTGCTGTTGTTGTTGTTGTTGTTTTGCTTTAGAGAATGCAGCAAAGAGAAGCTCAGTTTCATTATCAAGGCCTTACCTTGTTTGATATGCCATTGAGCAGTTCATTGCTGTTGCCCAACACTGTCAGAAATTTGGACTTGAGCGCACCGATACTCGGCGTTCGTTCCATGAACAGTTTGATTTTCGATCTCTCGCCGGCAAACGCAGCCGGCGGCGTACCAGGCGTCGTTGTTCGCGCGGGCGGCGGCTTTGCATCCACCATTATTGCGCTTTATGCTTTACTTTCGTTTAATTTCGCTCAGTTGCGCTTTATCTAATTATTGCTGCTGTTCTAGTTGTTGTTATTGTTGTTGTGGTTGTTTAGTGCTATTTTTAGCAGTCATTTAATAAGCGTTTTACACCGTTGACGTCGACGTTGCTGTTGCGACTGCTGCCGCGACAGCTGCGACTGCGACTGCGACTTCTGCTTCTGCAGCTGCTGCTTCTTCTTCTTCTACTTTTGCTGTTTCACGTATCGATTTTTCGCCCTGAGCAGCTGCTTTATTCCACTTCCTCTCTCTCTCTCTCTCTCTTGTTGTAGGGTCTTTCTTATTATGGACTCGAGCAGCATTTGTAATCCGGCTGATGCAGCAAATCCTCTTTGCAGTTGGCTTTAATCATGTCTTTGGAACTTGCTTGCATTTAAATTAGACTTAAGTCAAATGAACTTCTTTACATATATATTATTGTGTGTGGTGTTTGCATATATATTTGATATATTTTCATTACATTTTTACATGATTTTGCATTTATTGTTAGTTGAGCGACAATATTATAATTAATTATTTTCAATAGAAGTATATCTTCTTTGACTTTATTTAATTTTAATACAAATTTTTCCCATAAATATAATATTTATGATTTTTTTTTATTATTGACAATATTTATTATGTTATAAACATTTCTTGCTTTATGGTCTTTATTTTGGTTCCACATACATAATCATAAATTGCTTACATTTAATAAACAAATAATTCAATATTATTTTTATTTATAAATGTATTCTTGGCTTAAGTCTATGTTCCACAGTATTTCCACAATTAAAGCAGATTTGACATATATTTACTTATATACACATATAACAAGTTATTTCATAGAAATGACATCAAATTGTGCTCCATTTGTTTTTATTGTCCACAAGCATTACGCAAATGAAATTAGACGCACATCAAATAACAACAATTAAAGGCACAATTTCTGTGATTATATTTAAACAATGCTTTAATATATTTTATACAGTGCTTTAATATTGCACTTCAAAATACATTTAACTTTTATTTTTCCTCAATGCACACTTTTTGCACGCAGGTCGCCGTAAAAATCGTTTAATTTCTACACACACACACGCACACAGACACACGCACACAGACACACGCTTATACATACACACGCGAATTCACGCGATTGAGTTGCGTTTCCTGCAACACTCGCTGCGCAAATGCAGCCGAAAATTGTGTTTCCAGCTTTAAGAAACCGCGTATGCTGCCGCAACGAAAAAAACTCGCATGCAATAAAAAAAATGAAACATGTGAAAGCTTTTGTGCGGAGCTTTCACGCTGGCAGCAACAAGAACAACAATAACAACAGCCGGCATTTCGCTTGTTTACGAACAGCTGACACCTGAGCCGAAGAAGCCGAACGAGCCGAACGACAGCTGTGTCGCCGCAGTCGCAGTCAGCGTCGACGTCGACATCGAGCGAACAAGGTCGCAGGCAGAAGCACGGCAGGAGCCAAGACAGCGGCAGCAGCAGAGGCAGCGGAAGAGAAAAAGGGCGCAGCGGGCCTATCAGAAATGCGTGTCTGCAATTATAGGGCTTCGCCTTCGCCATTTTCTTCGAAATCCGTTTTGCATGTCATTTATTGTCAGCTTAATTTGCACATACACATATACACTCACACACACACACACATACACAGTTTGTGTATACGTAATTGTGATTGGAATTGGTATTACTCATACCACATGTTGCGCACACGCCGCAACGGGTCGCAAATAAACAGCCTGCCGCAACAGGGCGCCAACAATGGCCATAATTCGCATATCGTATTTATAAATAAATACTTATTATTTGTACTTATTTATACAAACGCACGCACACACACACACACACAGTAGTTAATTGCTTTTTGATTTGTGCTCACGCTGACGGCAGGTGGCGCTTTGGAAGCGTGCTACAATCAAAATATGAAATACAAGTACAAATGTTCTTTACTATAATTAAGCTATTGAAATATATAAATAGAAGCAGCAAAATTACCATCGTAAGAATTACGTCTACATATATTTGTGCTTGTTTATTCCAGCTTTATTATTTTACATTGCCTATTAAATTATTCAGCAGCAAAAGGCAAATCATTTCCAATTTCGTATGAATATTTTAATATGAAATAAAGCATGAGTTGAGTAAATTATTGAAATATTAAATCAAGCATGAATTGAATAGATTATTTTATGAATTACCAATAAGAACCAAAATTGTTATATCATTAATGCAGAAATTGACCAAAATATTATTTTAATTTATTTTCTCAAGTAGAATTTCTTATGCTACACACCTGTGTACTTCCAATTATAATTAAGACACATAGCAACAAAATTTTAATAATGCCAATATTTATTTAACAAGCGATTGTTCAAGGTTTCTAGGAGGTCAATTGGGTGTGATTTAATAATTGCTTATTAGCAATAGATAGCCTCTCTGAATTATTGTTTACAAATTAGATAAATTGAAAATAATATTTATGTTTAAATCAAAACTAGACAGGAAAAAAAAACATAACTCTGTTATTATCAGATTCATACACAAAGAATGTTATAAACATTTGTAGATTGTATTAATAAGTCAATGATCTCTAAAAAATTTACTTAATAGCCTTTTATTCAACATTTAAGAATTACAGACAACTTTCCAGTCTAATCAAAACCCAATAAATATGTTTTTGTATACATAATTATGATTTGATATTTAGTATTTATTTCTGAATATTAATAACCTGATATTTAGTATTAAAGCCATAATGGAAACACGGATATCAGATAAGAAAATAATAAAAGCTCATAAATAAATTTGTAGCCGGTCTGCGTCACAAATGGAATCAGCACCAGAATAAAATGCACGCAAATGTTTAACAACAAAATAAAAAAAAAAAAATTTCAACTTTTTATAAAACACGCGTCGAGCAAGACAAAGTTTTCAATACGTTGGTTTTTGTAGTATTTATAAGAAGAACGAGATTTCCCCAAAATAGACGCACAAAGAGAAAACACAACACACACCACAGTTTGATGGAAGAGATGGAGACACATTGAGAACAAATTGAGAAATTGAGGAAGAGATATATAGTGATATAGTTCCTACTGAGAACTGCGACATCTGCGGCTGCGACTGCGACTGCATAGTGCGGGTTTGTAGTAAAAATGTTGTTTAGATAGCCGGATAGAGAATTCAGTTTGTTAGGAGACGATCGCCGAACGAGACCGTAGCAAAAATATATTTAATGTCGAGCGGCTACCAATAGCAATATATATATATATAGTGTATATCTATATATAAATATATATATATATATATATAAATTCGTGTGCTACCAGCTGGCAGCAGCAATTTTGAGTGCGGCGCGACGTGAAAAGAAGTAAAATCGAATTATGTAAGTGATCTTAAAGAGGCTGTCACATCAACATATCACCAAAAAGTTCAATAACAAATATCGCTAATATGCCAAATAGAAAAACCGTACATATTATAAAAGAAAACCCCTTGAAGTGTGTGCTAAAAATAAACATAACTAAATTTAAACTCAAACGAAAAGAAGAACGGAAAAAGCTAAAAGTTCAAGGCATTTTACTGAATCTGATAAATAATCCAAATTTATGAATAAATAACGCTTGTTTTTTTTTTGCCTTTTATTTATTCAAAAACAAAAAGAAATCGAATTCGAATTGTGCAGAAAATAAACGCAAAATTTGGGCAATTAACAAAATGGCAAAAAAAAAAAGGAAGTGTTTAAAAATAGTTCGTGCGCTCGTCTGCGAGACTGTGCGTGTGTGCTTTATGTGTGTGTGTGTGTGTATGTGCATCTAAATATGTATGTGTGTATGTGTGTCTGCTCCCAGGGCAGCTGCCACTTGAAGCTGCCAACGACAACGCAGCAGGAAAAACAAAATGCGGTGGTCAAGATACATATATATATAATGCATACGTTTGGGCCACCTGAACTGTCTGCAATAATTTTCCTCTAAACAAACAAAAGAAAACATATAAAGTTATACAAGTATTTTCGCAAATATTTGCTTTTACCTAAGCAAAATAAATTGTCAGTGAGGTAAAGGTAGTTAAAGATAAATTCAGTCTTGGTAAATTCACATTTTTATTCAATTCTTACAACACCTATTAAATAATTCACATTATTTATTTTATTTCGATTTTTTTTCTAATAACCCTTTTGCCACATAAGTAATAAGTGCATTACGAAAAATGGCTTAGAAATTATATATAATCCAACATATATCAAAGTTATTACTTAAATTCAAATTATTGGTGATTTGTTATATATACGTCTTTAAAAAAAATTACATTTAGCTTATTAAATTAGATGAATTAGATATTTTCGTAAAATACATTTTCCTTTTCCCGCTTTGCCACAAACTAAGAATCCAATTATGAAAAGAATAATTAAAAAAAATTATTTACATTCAAATGATTTAAAATTTATTATAATATATGTTTTAAAAAAGGATTAAAATGACATTATTTTAAATTTGAAGACTTTTCAATAATAATTTGAGTATATATGTATATGATAGATAATATATTTGAGTTAATTGATAATTTTAGCAATAGATTCCAGATATAATATACCGTAATAGCTGCTGTGCATTAGATATTTATCATGGTTCTTATATACTCATAATGCCACATAATATCAGCCAAAATAATTCATATCTTTTATTTGAGAGTGCAGTCGAAAATGATTCAAAATATGTCTACACTCATCTATCTACTATCTAAAATTTCTCTTATTCTACATCAATCATGCAGCTTGCTACAACAAATTTTGACCAAATCTCATTTACGCAACTCTCAATTCTCTATATTTATCGCTTATTCTTTTATAGTTCTCTTTGATTTCCCTTGGGGTTTTTGTTGCTTAAATTCTCTTTACTATTTAGAGCATTTATATTGTGTTCATAAAATGTAAAGGTTCTGTCTTTTATGTACTCTCTTTCCACCTCTTTTCAAGTTGGTTTCTCTCTCTCTCTCTCTCTCTCTCTCTCTCTCTCTCTGTCCCTCTCTCTCGATCTCTCTGATTTATATTCCTCTCGAACTCTCTGATTTATATTCCTCTTAAGCACGCTGTCATCTTGCTCTAATTGAGTCACACAAATGATTTCCTTATGCTTATTTTGCATCGTTTCATAAATAAACAACAACAATTTTATGCACAATTTGGCAAAGCGTACTAATACTTAATACCCTATAGACTAAGAAGTAATGCAGATATGGCTAGTTTAAATAAAATTTGACTTCTTTCTCATCACTGCTTAGCAAATCTTTAAGTTAATATGTGAATATAGAGATTTATAATATATATTCAGCTTTCAAACGATTACTGCGAATATACATTGATCAAGACTTATGTGGATTTTGCATAGAGTATTCGTTAGTCGGTTGCCTTTCTCAGTTCAGACTTGTTTTGAATATAGAAATGTTGACCTATATTTATACGGTTTATTCGTGGAACAACTCTGGCGGTGTTTGGTCGTTTGCATTTGCGTTGCATTCATATTTTAGCTAGGGACTTGCCACACAAATTTAGGTGAGCATGCTAAAAATATTCATGAAAATTTTATAGATATTTTTTTTTAGCAGTTGTGTGTAATTGAATATGAAGTGTTTTGAAGTGCTCGAGACAAAATAATGTGCATATATGCCTCAATAAACACAAATAATTTGCCAGACATCAACTGGCACAGTTTACGATCAAATAAACTTCACATAAACACATCTTAGACATAGCTTCTCTATAAAGTATGCCCCAGTTTTGTTTAATCACTTTTTATATAATACCCAAAATATGCAGCATATAAAAAACAAGAAGAAGAAGAATAGGAAGTCCAATAAACGAATTGAACGACAAAACGGCTGCCGCAGAAAAGAAGAAAACAAAGATGGCGACACAACAATTGCTCAACAGAAACATTCGCACAATGCCCACATGGGTGGTGAGTCTCTCTCTCTTTCTCTCTCTCTCTCTCTCTCTCTCTCTCTCTCTCTCTCTCTCTCTCTGTATCTCTATCTCTACCTAGAGCTGTATTTTTTACTAATACTCTGAGTAAATACAATTGCAGACTGAGGCAAACGATCGCATTGGACCCAAGCCGCCGCCAACGCCAATGAATGGCAACGGGACTCAGCTGAAGGTGCCAGCCCTGCCACCGAAGACGAAGAACACACCCGAACCCGACTACGAAATTATCGAGTTTACCAATCAACAGCAGTACTCAAATGAACCACTGAAACCCACACAGATTCGCACCAAAACGCCAGGCAAGTAGATCTCTAATGAGACTTGAAAACACTTCCATATTTATGACAAAAAGTAAGGCTTAAGTTTAAGCATAATCCACTGATTTAACAAATATCACTAGTGAAAAAAATAGTTTGATGGATCACCTGAAAGAAACAGGTCTCTTTACAGAGAACTACTCTGCTCGAATCCGAACCCTAAAAGTACGGAAAAAAGGTTGTGATTTAACAAAATTTGATTATAATTAGACTACTATATTTGAAAAAAATGTTATTCTAATTAGACTACTAAATCATAATGCATAATTTTGATTTATAAGACTGCCCAAGACCAATTGTTTTTTCCTTAAGAAATTGACTTGACTTTTATTACCCTAATTTTTTTTGTGCTTAAACACAGCTTGGAATAATTATAATTATTATTTTTTGTCGAGATAAGATTTGAATATTCTATAGCTTTCTGAGGAGATGTTAATCAGTCTTTCACATATTTACACTTTGCATAAGATCAAATTAAAATATTCTAACGTTCAAACTGAGATCTTAAAATGAAAGAAAAGAAACTAATTAAAAGTCTTTGTTTTAAATATTTATTAAGTAGTAGTAATTATTAATAATAATTATAATAATAATAATGATAAGTTTCAACTTTTATTTATGTAGACAACAAACTGAAGTGCACATTGTGCGGCTCACAGAACCCATGGGTGACCTGTGCCGAGTGCGCTGGCCAAATCTTTTGCGCCTCATGCGACGACATGTACCACAAGCATCCCAAGCGGAAGCAGCACATACGCAAGGTAGAATTACTGAGTGGGTCAAGTATATAGTGTATATATACTGTATATATTTTCATGTTTTGCCAGGCTGTGCAGCAGGGCATACCGCCCATACCGCCAAAGGCACAGGGTGGCGCACCGCCGCCTGTTGCACCACCGAGACGCAGCAAACGTGGATTGCTGACACCGTTTCTGGGCCGCAAGGAACAGGTACGCCACTGCACGATATCATAAACCAAAATACAAACTCCGTACTAGCGAAAGTACCAGTCCAAGTACTAGATCCTAGTTCTACCATTTAGTACCAGTTTGTAATCGATTTTCTTAATGCTTCAATAAATCAAAAAAAGAAAAAATAAAACAACAATCAAATATGAAACCTTTATGCTGCTTGCAAATTGAAAAATAAAATCAGCCTTCTTCGGCACGCCGAATATTATAAATACCCTTGCAGGCCGAAATTTAACTGTTTATACAAATGGGATATTCAATTAAAACTTGATTGAAAAATAAATGAACAATGTGAGACATGCTAAAGGTGCCGATTATTCTGGGAGCCGAATGATCAAACATTCGTACCGATTTTCATCCGTATTTTATACAATTATAATACTATAAAAAAGTGATAAATTCAAGGCACAAACTATTTAAACGGTCTGCAAGGGTATGCATACAAAAAAAAAACTAGAAGAAACAGCCGACAAATGGAAACCAAACCGAAATTCTTTTGCAGATGTTGCCCCCACCATCGCCGACGCCGTCGCTGAAATCCACCAGCGGCTGGCGGGGCACAATGCCACCACAAATGACAAATCGTCCGCTGCCGGAGCCGCCACGTCCCGCACCCAGCGAGGGTGGCGGCTCCTCACGCTCCGGCACGCCCAAGTCAGTATTCGATACGATCAGTCGGCCGCCGTCCGTTCAGCTGGAGAAGATCAAGAGCAAGGCGAACGCAACTCTGGATCGGATGGCGCAGCTGCAGCAGCGATATCGCCAGCAGAAGGCGGGCACCTCGAACAGCTCGAACATGGGCAGCGAACAGGTAAGCCCAATATGTGCCACCGAATCCCATCCAGTCACCATTCAATTGTATCCCCCTCATCTATATCGTATCGTATTTTATCGTATCGTGTGCGTCTCGTCCATGTCACTCCCCTCTCTCTCTTTCTTTCTCGTTCTCTCTCTCTCTTTTTTGTTCTATGTACATTTCCTTGCGCAGCATTTGCCGAGCCTCGAGCATTGGTCAAACATTTCACCATCGCCCTCGCATTTTCGTTCCGGCAGCATGTCATCCGGTTTGAATTCATCGCATTTTGATCTATCGGATGATTCACACAATTTTCACAATTCCCTGTTGTTCCAACAACAACAACAACAACGACAACAACAACAACTCCAACAACGACAGGCAGCCGGCGCCCAGCGTCGTCAAATGAGCACATCCGTCTTCAATCTCAACTCGATGAACACGCGGCGCCCTCTAGCGGAAACCCAGCACAGCGGCGCTTGGCTGGCCAATCAGCGCATGCAGCAAGTAAGTTCACCAACACTAACAGAGTTGCCAACATTTCATAAACTGGGGGAAATCCGATTTAAGCGAACGTTAACAAGTGCATAATGCTCTAATATATTTGTAATATTACACTCAGCAAAAAAGTCACACAGAAATTTAGAAAATCGCACAAAAAGGCAAAAAAAAAATATTTTCTGATTTTTTCGAAATAATTTCTAAATTATCGAAAAAAAACATTTCTTAGCTTTAGATCTATTTTTCACAGATATATTCTGCTATTGAATAAATCGCACTTTAAAACAAAACCAAAGCTGATAGCTTTCCCATTTTTCACTTAACATGGAGCAGGCAACAAAGTTAGCAACTAATTGAGAGTAACAAATACAATCATCCTTGACTTCGCTTCCAGGCACAATCGATGGCGCAGCTGAACTGCGCCGGCTGTCAGAGTCAGCAGCAGCAGGGCAACTGGGCAGCGCATCCACACGCTCATCCGCATGGGGATGAGTGGTCCCAGTTTGGGTCGCAGCAGCAGTTCAATCACTCGAATCTGTCGCTTAATATGGGCGCCGGTTACTTGCCACAACACCAGCAGCAGCATCCGCATTACCCTCCACCCGTGTTTATGACACAACGCGGCATGATGCCCAACATGTATCCAGGTGCTGTTGGTTACCCCATGTTGCATCCAGGTGAGCTGCTGAGAGTCACCTTAAACTATCCTTGATTTATTGATTCCCCTTCCAGGCGTCATGGGCATGCCACCGCCTGTTGCCTCGCGTGCAGCATCCCGTCCTCGTTATCCTGCCTCCCCGACGCCCAGTCGCAAGTCACTCTCGATGCGACGTGGCAAACGCAGCAGTTATGGGGATGATGAGCTGACCGATGATGAGGATTCGGATCAGGATGATCGTCGCTCTCTTGTCTCCAATCGCTCGGGCATGACGAGTGCCTCGCGCTCTCATCAGCATCAGCATCATCATCAGCGTCAGCGCCGCTTGTCCAGTGCCTCGCAGCTGATCAACAATAGTGGCAATGATGAGCTGGATGGGGAGCAGCGTATGGTCAGCAGACAGCACAAGATGCGCGATCGTCGCGGCTCCTTTGCCAAGTCTGTGCAAAGCGAGTGGCTGCCCGAGCGCAGGGATTCAAATGAAGGAGGAGGAGGTGGAGGTGGTGGTACCTTAAAGAGATCCCAACACGAACCACCAAAAACGAGTCGCATCTACTCGGATCTGGAATCGGAGGGATCGGATGCACGTGCCTTGGTTCAAGCCAAAATACAGCAAAAGCTGCAGCAGAACTCTACAGAAATGCAGCCAACCAGCAAAAGGAACGAGGTCAAACGCAAGCCGGAGATGAAGGATGAAAACACACAGGCAGCGGCGGTGGTTCAAAAGAGCTCCGTAACTCTAGCCAAGGCGGAGAACAGTGAATCCGATTACGAGGAGGAGGTAGTTGAGGAAGTTCCCGACTCAGAGACCGAGGCGGATGAGACGCCAGCAGCTGAGACAGTTGAGGCTGGCGAAGATGATTTGGGACCACCGCCATCGACTCCCGATCACGAATGGGAATGCGAGTTTTGCACCTTTGTCAACGAGGCCAATGTCAAAATCTGTGCCATCTGCTGCAAGACGCCCTGCAAGCCACCCACAAAACCCACAGAAAAGAAAGCCATTACAGCGGATACAAAAGCAGAGTCCAAGGCTCCAACACCCAAGCCGGAGACCAAACTGGTGCACAAGAGCTCCATGAAGTCAACTAATCAAACACCAAGCAAACCAAAACAAACCACAGCAACAGCAACAACCGCGACAACGAGCACCACAAGCACCACCAAGAAACCAAGTGTAACCACAAAATCGCAGCTGAAAACCACAGGGGATAAACAAACAGAAAGTTCCATCTCCAAGGGTTTCACACACAAAGGTAGGATTCTAAAGAAAATCTCATTTTTCGAGGGTACCAAGAACTGAAACCGAAAAACCCCCCCCACAAGAAAAAAAGTCAAACACAACTCAAGCATTGTGCATCCTAAATAATAACAAACTGTAACTGTTCAAACTACAATTAACGCATTTATTGAAACATTATACGAAATACAAATCAAGTCCCAAACTAAAAACATCCTTGAGTTTTGTTTTTCTCATTAATTTGTGTTGTGTTGTGTGCCCTACTAAAGCTCTCATCCATCATCTTCCAGAATCCGTTGAGAATATTTGGAATACACTGGATGAGAGCATACAGGCACAGGCGGAGCAGGTGTTGAAGCAGGCCCAAAAGGTCTCCACAGGCTGTGGCGGCACACCTCCCAGGGAGCTACCCCCCAGACAGGATGATGCTGCCATCGAAAGACAGGCTAGGGAAATGGCCACCTCACCACCACCGCAAAGCATTTCCACACAAGTAAACGATCAATCTGCATTCAATCCTTTGAAATCCTGAGGTTAATTAGCGCCATTTACAGACCTACGATGTGCTGCCCATTCACGCCCAGTCAGAGGAACCAGCGGCTCCTGTCCAGGAGCACTTTAGATCGCCCGAGCCTGCCAAAATGGAAAGGAAACCGTATTATCGCAGCAGCTCACAGCTCCCACAGGAGAACGAACGCTATCGTAGCGCCAATGATCTGAGATATAGTGTGGACACTGCTTCAGGTCCATATAATACGGGTCAGCTCACCAGACGTCCCAATTTCATAAATGATCTGAGATCTTTGCAGCACGTAAGTCAAAATAACTTTTTCTTGCACATCCTAACGATCAGATTAACCATGTGAAATTAAGGACATTTAAGATGTGGAACCTATTAAAGGTATTAAGAGGGTATATCGCATAGTCTAAATCAATGAGGATGATCAATTATGCTTATTTGCGAATGTTTTTCAATTGGAAAAAATAATCTTTTATTGTATTTTCTATCAAACACGTTTTCTCCTATTAGCAAAGTTGCTCAGTCAGAATAGAGAAATCATAGTTTCCCATAATAAAATAAAGAAAAACTTATTTTTAATAATTCTTATTATTAGTAATATTTGTATTTTTTATCCACCACGTTCTCCCTTTTAGCAAAGTTCCTCGCCATTTGATATGCCACACGATTCAGTCGGCTACAAACACGAACCGGCCCGCGATCCCGAAATCGAAATGCACATCATATTGAAGGAGCTGGAACTGTACAAGTTCACAGTTGAGGAACTGGAGGCAGCTCTCAAATACTGCGGTCCCGATATGCATCCCATACAATGGCTGCGCGAGAACTGGCACAAGCTGGTCCAGACCGTGCAGAGTCTATCCACAAAGTACGGCCAGGAGCGGGCGGAGAACACAATTGGGACAATCTCGCAGAATGAGGCACGAGAGGCTCTGCGAAGTTCGGGTGGCAATGTTTGGCAAGCCGTTGCGGATTGCATACAGCAGCGGCAGCAAAAGTACCGCAAACTGGCCGCCAAGGGCAACTTTCTGAGTGAGGATATTGTGAATGCGTTGACAGCGCATCAAGGTAATGTGGAACAGGCCTTGGTCGAACTGAATCGCACACAACTCAAACCATTTCTAATGCGCATCTGGGGCTCGCCGAACGGCGTGGAGAATGAGAGTGCCGCCTTAGATAACAAGTCGGGTTAGTCTCTAGCTCGAATGCCTTAAATCTCAATCACTATTCACTATACACAGCGGTCGCTCGAAATTTAGAAGAGACTCGAATTTGATTTCAAACATAATTCTAATACCTGAAAACGAAATGCAATAGAAAATAATTCGTATTTGCCATATTTGAAATAAAATTCCTATAACCCATATTTATTTATATTAAAAGTAATCGTTGTAATTAGAACACACAGCTTAATACCAGAAAAAAAAATTAAATGTTAATTGCTTGCCATAACATTTTTTTAAATAAATTAAAAATGATTATTACACATTAAATGTAATTTACTTTTTTATATTTCATAATTTTAAAAAATCCACACTTTTTTCAACCCCCCAACGAGTTTTGACTTTAATGGACTGGCAGGGCGTTCTCAAATCTAGAATCGGCACAAATTATATAAAGTAAACAATTTCATGCTCACTTTTTATTTGCTTGTACATTTTTGCCTGTTATAAAGAAATAACCAAAATTAACCAGAGAGACAACAATAGATAGACAATCAGCTCACTTTGTATACCTTTTTGCCCATTATAAAGATAACCAGTCACTCACAAGAATTCCCAAAACCTTTGCTCAATTCTCAAAAATATGAATTGTAGATGAAAGCAGTTTAAGGCACTGAAATAGGTGCTTTCTGGCAATTTCTGGCAGTTCCAAGTTGCGAGCGATCACTGTAATTCTATTTTACACTCCTCATGTTCTCTCTCCATCTATTGTGTAGATATCCATGAGTTTCTCAACACACATGCTTTGGACTGTTTGCAAATGACGAGTAGTGAGAATTCTGCATTTGCCAATCCATTCGATGCTTTGTATACTGATGATAATCACAGCCCTGCCAAATCGTCTTATGCCACGCCGAGTCCTTATCAACTCGAGGATAGTACACTCAAAAATCTGGAAATACTTATTGGCAACATGGAACAGAATCAGGCCAAGCAGAATCAGGAAGTGCTGCGTTCAATTGAAACGATGCTGGAGGGTTTCAAAAGCAAACCTGAGCAGGAGTATGAAACGGATCCAGAAGTTATGCGCATCCTAACCAAGAGTCCGATTAGTACTTTGAAATCCCCATCTGCGCTGCAGGACAAGTCCAGCGATGATGTCAAGAGCTTTGTGTGGCAACACATACAGGATATTGTGCCCAACCTGGTGCAGCAGGTGGAACAGGAGCTAATGGAGCCAACAGAGGTGGACGAGGTACCCCTAATCCCAGTGGAAACAATCGCACCTGTGGTTGAGGCAGTGGTGCAAAAAGAGCCAACACCACCACCAGAAGATCCGGGTGTTTACATCATGGAGGAGATCATCAAGCCAAATTTACGGGAGAGTTCAATACGCGAAGAATTGCCAGCTAATTTCATTTATGCTACGGAAATAGCCAACTTTAAGCTGGAGTTTGATCGGGGCATCGAGAGATGGCATGAATTGGAATGGGAATTGGATGACTTGGAAGACGCCGAGCGTATTGTCTACAAGAGTTATATGGCACCGAAAATGGAAGAAGTGGAAGAGGCCATTGCGGAGCCAGCTGTAGCTGTGAGTGAGACGGAAACCAATAGTCCAAAGGACCTTGAATCCAACAGCAATATTACAAGTGAGGCTGCCGTGGACTCTAGCGCAACTCCCTCAGCGAGTGCAACGAAGAAAGAATCGAATGCGGCTCAAGAAATGGAGGAAGTCATTTCACCAAAACCCATCAGCGAATCAACAACGAAACCTACCGAAAAGACAGCAGAGACTCCACCAGAAAAGATTGCAGTTGAAACAACAGTTGAGAAGCGGAAGGAAGAACCAAAGGAGATTCAAACCGAGTCCCCAGCTGAGTTAGATGACAAACCCAGCACCAGTCGAGAAGCTAATAGAAGAATTAAACGATCGCAGCTACCGAAAAAAACAAGGACTCGGGATCAAAGCCAAAAACCAGCTAATCGAAATAGATTGCCCAATAAGACGGCGGAAAAGAGCCAACAAGATGAAGCTAATCAAGTCGCTGAGCAACCACAGAAAGCAGCAGAAACAGGCACAAATCAGATATTTGCAGATTATAAGATGGGAACAGCTATTGTCGAGACTGAAGTGGAAGTAGACAATCAAGTTAAGGCGGACGAGATAACTCACACGGAAGGAGGAGAAACTGAAACAAGGGAAGCTGACGCGGAAGCAGAAGCTGGCATAAGAAAAGAAGCTGAAATAGAAGAGGGAGCTTTTGCAGAAGTAGAAGCTGAAGTTACTTCTTCAACACCGGTTCCTGAAACCGCTGAAGTTGATGCAGCAATAGAAGCTTCAACATCTGTTAATGAAACACAAGAAGTAGATGCAGCAGTAAAATCAGATCTTACTTCTTCAACATCGGTTTCTGAAACCCCTGAAGTAGCAGCTTCAACATCTGTTAATGAAACACAAGAAGTAGATGCAGCAGTAAAAGTTAATGTTACTTCTTCAACTTCTGCTATTGAAACACCAGAAGTAGATGGACAATCCAGTCTAACTGAAGCTAATCTTGCTCAAGTCGAGCAACTTTATGTTAATCCGGAGGACTCAGGAGTTTCTCAAAGTCCTGAAGTTCCACAGTTATCTACAGCTGATAGCTCGTCAGCTCAACCAGAAGAAAGTATTGTGCTACAACTGCAACCAACCCCAGCTTCAGAAGAAAAAGCTGTTTTGGAATATCAATCACAGGAAACAGCTGAGAGCTCAGACCATCAATCACAGGCAGAGGTGAACACCGAACCAGTCATTGAGACAATACCAACAATCACTGTTGCAACTAATCAAAAGCGAAGACCCAAGCGTTTCTCAAAGATTCCGGTGAGAACCTTAAGCATAACTAGTCTCCGCAGTGAGAGTAGAAATAGTATTCAAACACCAACAGTAGCAGAAGCAGAGAATAATACAAGAAACTCAGAAGAGAATGCAGAAATCCAGGAAGAAGAAATCAAACCCGCTTCTCCTTCTTCAATCGAGGCGTCGAATACATCTTCCTCGACAGCTGAAGTCGTAACGCCCAACGATTCCGAAGAGGTCTTTGAGGATGCAGCCGAGTTCAGCGGTGAGGAACCGCATCTACACGATGAATATCACTCGGATGCCGAGCTCTATAGCCTGGACAGTGAGGATCATCTACCAAAGTCACCCGCAAGTGAAGTATTGCTCGTTCTCAATACCGAGTCACCTGCAGAGGACTTCCACATTAACAAATCGACCAGTAATACAACAATTAGTTCACATTCAAGCCAATCCGAGCCAGAGAAGATGGTGCTGAAGGAGTTTATACCATCGGGAGATCCAGCCAAGCAAAATCTGAGTGAACTTGTCGAGGACACTCAGCGTTTGATCAAACAAATGCGCGATGAGATCAGCATGGACGAGTTTGAGTCAACCGATGACGAAGATTACTCCGAGGACTACTCCGATGAGTACGATGAGGGCGAAGAGGAGGAGTGGTATGATGACAGCGAGGGCGATGAGGAGGAGGGCACATACAACGAGAACGCATCCTTTATTGAGGAAGCCTCCAGTGGGGCAGCAGCTGGCTTGGCATATGGTGACGATGAAGCCACCGAAATCGAGGACATTATGGAAGAAGATGAATTTGAAGAGGAAGAAGGAGAACCAGAACGAAAAGGAGACGGAGACGATAAGACAGACAATAATAAGCTTGCTCAGACAGCTGACACGCATGAAACAGTCACGAGCACCTCATCAGTCACGCCCACAAATCATGAAATGGATCTAAATACAGAGATTGAGACGGTTTCTTCCACAGCCAGGATCAGCGCAGTTGAGGCAAATATCAAGTCAACTGATGAAACAGCTCTAACACAAGCTGCTGTACTAGAAGAACCTATAGAACCCGTTGTTGCTGTAGTTCATGAAACGGTTCCGGATTTATCCCCAGCCACAGAACCCATTGAACAAATTACTGAAACTCCTGCCGTGGAAATTTTATTGGAATCGGAAACCCAACCAATAGCTGAGCAGGTCGCAGAACCAACTGCCCTACCCCTAACACCCGCACCACCCATTATCGATTCAGAAACCCGTCCGCTTGAGCTGCCCACCGAAACAGTATTGGAAGAGCCCAAAAAGGTAAATCCCAAGACAATCCCAAGCAAAACCGAGGCTAGCAAAACTCCCAGCACACTGAAAACCAACAAATCCACAGTAAGCAAAATACCCAAACTCACAAATGAAACCAACACAAACACAACAGTCACAACAACAACAACAACCAACAACAGCAACAACAAGAAATTGCCGATGCGTTCCAAATCCTTTTCCGCACCCATGGGCATCTCATCGGTCAAACGCATCCAGCAGCAGTTCCTGCAGAAACAAACACAGTCCAGCACATTGAGCAGCAGTCGTGTGCCACTCAAGACTAGTCCAACCAATAGGAAATCCCTGAGTGAAGCGATTAGCAAATTCAATACACAAACCACACTGGATGGCCCGAGCACCAGTGGTGCAGCAGCTGCGGTAAATGCACTGTTCAAGCCACGATCCCAGCCACGTATACCCAAAAAGAAATATCATGAGACATGTTTCTCGGATGATGATTACGAGACATCGGCCAACGAGGAGGAGCCAGAGGAGGAGACTGAACTAGCTGCACCACTGAAAGCAGAGCTGCTCAAACGCAAACTCAGCATGCCCGTCTTTCGGGCCTATGCCAGTGTTCAGGAGCCCATTATTGAGGAGCCAGCGGTGTGTAAAATCCCTTGGAGGTGTACAGTAAATATCTGATACAGTCTGTGTCTGTTTTCACTCCTAATTCCAGGTGCTGGCCCGCAAATATGTCGAACAGCAGCTGGTCACGAGTATTGCCGAGGCACAAATTGCCGCCACACTGGTAAACATGAAGTTCCAGGAGGATGTGGCCCTGTGGGCAGCAAGGGAATGCTCGGATCTCGATCAGGCCATCTCCATGCTGCAGCAGGAGTGTGAACTGTGTATGAACAACTATCCCATGAATCAAATTGTCTCCATGCTCAAGTGCACCCACAAGTGCTGCAAGCAATGCGCCAAGAGCTATTTCACCGTACAGGTAAACAGATAATATTAATTGCATATTTCTAATTAATTATTAATTGTCTACATCTAAAAATGATATTTTTCTCCCTTTAGATAACAGATCGCAGCATCAACGATTGCAGCTGCCCGTTTTGTAAGTTGCCCGAGCTGAGCAACGAGGTGGCACATGAGGATGAGCACTTGGAGTACTTTTCCAACTTGGACATATTTCTCAAAAGCATTTTGGACAACGATGTGCATGAGCTGTTCCAGCGCAAGCTCCGCGACCGCACACTGCTCCAGGATCCCAACTTTAAGTGGTGCATCCAGTGCTCCTCGGGCTTCTTTGCCCGGCCCAAGCAGAAGCGTTTGATATGCCCCGATTGTGGTTCGGTAACCTGTGCCCTGTGCCGCAAACCCTGGGAGAGGCAGCACGAAGGCACCACCTGTGAGGCGTACCTGGAATGGAGGCGTGAGAATGATCCGGAGTTGCAGGCCCAGGGCGTACAGGAGCATTTGGCGCAACATGGCATCGATTGTCCCAAGTGCAAGTTCCGTTACTCGTTGGCAAGGTAAGAAGAATCTTATGAACCAAATATCTTATAATTAGACAGTGTCCACTCGGGATTCCAATTACCTCACAATTATGATTTCCTCTTAACCCATTTTTTCCAAACCAAAAATGTACAAAATGTATATAATAATCGTATATTCAAAAAATTTACTTTTATATGAATTTTAAATTCTTCAAGGCGTTTTTTATTAAACAAAAATATTTAAAACAATTAACTTTGTATCTGTATATTTACCAATGAATACACCAAACACGCAAAAGTTTTTCTATTTGAAAACAATATATATAATATATAATAGACATTACTTCGTCTTCATATACTCGTACATACATATGTTTGAATGTACATTTTAAATTTCAATATATACCTAAAAAGTTGAAAATAATTATGTATATATTATTAATATATACAAATATGAGTTTTAACTTATTAAACCTTATTATTAATATAATCTTTTCAGGGGCGGCTGCATGCATTTCACGTGCACCCAGTGCAAATTTGAGTTCTGTTATGGTTGTGCCAGACCCTTTATGATGGGCGCCAAATGCAACATCTCGCCGTATTGTTCCAAGTTGGGTTTGCATGCCCATCATCCACGGAATTGTTTGTTCTACCTGCGCGACAAGATACCGCTGCAGCTACAGTTTCTGCTCAAGGAGCACAAGGTCACATTCGATACGGAGCCCATCGAGACCGACGATGAGCCGAGCAGCGCCAGCACGGCAAGGGCCTTGTCCCGTTGCCCCATCCCACTGCAGAAGGAGACCCCACAGGGCCTAGTGGACACCGTTTGCAACAGCGATGTGCCCGAAAAGCATGCGGGCATGTGTCGGTACGTGTTTTTTGGGGGAACTCCCACTGGTGTCTTGAAAAAACAGCTAATTGCTCTTTTATAGCACACATTACGTAGAGTATTTGGCTGGCAAGGTTGCCAAGGCCAGCATCGATCCGCTGCCCATTTTCGATTTGACGGACTGTGTCCAGGAGCTGCGTAGGCGAGGCATTGCTCTTCCCGAGCGCGGACCCTGGGACACCGATGAGATCTACAAGAAAATGTGCTCTGAGGTTAGTTCGATAATGTTTTTATGTTTTCTTTTCTTTTTTTTTTTGTTTTGTTTTCGTACTGCGTTTAATTATTTGCGTACCCACCACATTATAATTTTCGTACGAAGTGTATAATGCCGTGTGGGATATATCATTGAAGATATCCCTGCTTAAGCAGGGCAAATTTTGATTCCGAAGAATATTTTAGAAAATCATATAGAGGCTCTAACAAAAAAAAAAAAACAATCAATTTAAATCTATTATTAAATTTTAATTGTATTATGTTTAATGGAAAATTTTGAGAAAACGATTCTAATTTTGTATGATTTCTGATTTTGTTTGACAGTATTTAGCTTCAACTTACAATTACCGTATTGTTTAGCTTCTATATCAAAAAACTATCAAATTTAGATCTTATATAAGTAAAACTTTTCTTTTTGAAATTAAAAGATCAATTTGTATTCAAAATCTTGGATATTCTTCATATTATTCACGGTAAAAATGGCTTCAAAATATATTTGTTTAATGACAAGACAATTATTTATATATTGAGCAAGGGTATTCAATGTACGGTAGCACAAAGATAATGTTCTGTGCTGTTGTTGATTTTACCTTTGGTGTTGTTTTGGTTTCACATTGTGCTTTTTATTGAGTTTTCTTTACGTGGAAAACGCATTTCCTGCGGCTGTTTTGACCCGATGATTCAGTTCACGCCCCCGCTATAAATAAACGTCGATCGATGAAAGCAAAAACAAGGTGCCTAATATGCTCGCCTAAATTTAGGAACCACTCTGACGTATTTCATACGCGTCTTAATTGATTTTGTTCGCCTTTATTAGTATTAGATTGTAAACAAGAAACGCAAGCGTAAATTACAAATGTTTATCTCTTGCTCTCACTATCTCTCTCTCTCTCTATCTCTCTCTCTCTCTCTCTCTCTCTCTCTCTCTCTCTCTCTCTCTCTCTCTCTCTTTGTAGGTAATCAAACAACATATACCACTCAAATCGGCCTGAGTGCGATCGTATAATTCGCTGTGTTCTTCAAGGGCATTCAATCGACGCTTCTCAACTATTGCAATTGTTCATGCAATTTTTTATGAATAATCGTAAACATTTATATGACGACATTTTTATATACATTGAGCATACACATACATACAAAAATACATATATATATATGTAAATTGTAGACAGTTTATTAGACATTCGACATTCATACCATACATAATGCCCATTCGTATACCCGCCCATCCACCCGATAGCACTACCAACTATTTGTTTAGCCCGTAAGCAGTTTATTATTATTTTTGCACTTCAGGCTAGACACAAACCATAGCCAATATATGGACAGACACGAGGCACTAACAGCATCCAATAAACAGCTTGTGCGAGAACCGAGAATTGTTAACGGGTGCAATTTGTGCAAAGCGTGTTGCAAATATTCGACATACTGCAAATATATGCGTGCCAGATGGCGTTTACCTTGCCATAATAATCGAAAATATGCAAAACTGTTTGTTGTATATTAAGATATTGATTGTGCGGTGCTGAAAATTTCGATTCATATGGTAAGTGGTAAATTTGCAGTTTACATTCAAATGGTAATCATCTTTTGAATATATGCAATTGAAATGTAATTGAAAAACCTGACAGAAAATTGTGCTAGTAATTTCTCTCTAAAAAGTTTATATATATATATTACTAGTTCCGGCAGGAATGCAATTTGTATACTCCGATTGGACTTACACCAAAGGAGTTGATAGTTAATGCATCAATGTATGCATGTATCTTAGTATTCAGATTTGTACACATAAATATTAAAATGTATGAGAAAATGACAATTTGGCCCAATATATACATGGATATTAAACATTGCTTAATATTGCTTAATAATGTTGTCAATGAAATGAAAGATCTTTCAAAACCACAACTAGCTATTCACAGCTCCTTGCCAGCGGCTCCTTGGATTCGCATAGAGCGAAGAAATGTACACAAAAAAGGTTTTAAAATTAGAAAGTATTTTTTTTATTTACAGAAATATTTGGTTACTCTGATACGAAGATGGCCTTTACATATGTTTCTTATCTAATACATATATTTCTTTATCGAATACAACTGAGTGAGGATATTGCCACATATATCGTTCTGACGATGCAAATTTGACATCCGCACAAGAATTTTCTTTATGAGCTTACATATTATCATGGCGATCGAACCAAACATTTCGTGATAATGTAGAAAAAAGAAACTAATCACATTTTTTTATATTTTTATAATTTTATAAGATTCTCTAAGAGAAAATGATTTAAGCAATTTGATATTTAGCAAAAGACTAGTTAAGAAATGGATGCGAACTTATTATAAGATCAACTACTTCTCTTACTTATGATAAGCCACAATTCCACAGGCATATATATGATTCGATGGAATCAGTTCAAGAAGAGGGCGTCTCCGACAACACCTGTTGTCACATTCACTCAGTTCGAGAAGCTCCCAAAACTGTTGCATACTTTTGAGGTTGATGCTGCTACAGAGTGTCGCATGTGGCGGCGAGACGCTCACAATTCTTAAGTTGGGCATTCGAAATAGCAAATGCGTCTCGTAAATAACGGCAACAGCAGCAACAACAACAATGAAAAACAACAATGTGGCGTTTGTGGAAAATGAAAATTTGGCGACGGGATGAGTTGTTGGATGAGTTGATGCCTTGACGCGGCATCATAAAAACCTATTTTCGTACGATTTGTTTTCAATTTATGCGCGCGGCACAACATGTTTTGCATTTCGGACAATTTTACACCAATAAAATCAAATTAAGTAGGATTATTTGTAAATTGATTGAGCCACATTAATGCGAATCTAAACGATCGAATGACATTCAACTGGACTGCAAAGGGCGCCACCTTTCTAAATTAATTGATAGCCTGCGAGAGAGAGGCACGTGTCGTGGATATATGCCGATCATGCGACTGACTAACAATGTCATTAATTTTTTATAAATTTCAGTTGACTCTTCGCATGGACTCGAAACCCATAAAACTGCTTTAAGTGTTAACATGCGCCGTTCGGTTCTTAAGCAAAATAATCTTAATCATCAAAAAAACAAATCAACAAATCTACCTAGCAGCTGCTATATCCAACGGGTCTACTAAAGTCTGGGATAAATTGAACTATTTTAAATTTATAAGCAATCTAATCAATACTAATACGTTAATTAATGTTTTAAATACTCTTGTCTCCAGCTACTTTCTCTAAATTTCATCACAAATGGATAAATAATTCCAGAATTGTATATAAGAAGCATTTCACTTGGTTACAGAGTATCTTGTAGTCGAGCGCTTGCAACTCCAACACTTCTTTATTTGCTTGGCAAAATAAACAAAATAAACAAAATAAAAGGCGCGTGGCCCATGTTGAACTCAAATTTAATTACAGGTAAATGAACGTAACAGCCAGTCAATCAACCGAGTAACCAATCAATCAATCAATCAGCGAACACAGCTCTATTGATTTACTTCAAATCATTCAATTTGAATGTGAAAAGAAGCAAAAGGAAATGAAGTCGCTGCCAGGCAACAGCACTGTGAAAAATAACCAGGTGCAAACAACACGAACACGAGCAGCAGCAAGTTCGCCTTTTGTTTAATCAACCTTCGTTTTGCTGTTTATTAGAAACAGATTTACGACAGCGTCACATCCTGTTCGTGTCCACTCAGCAACACAAAAATAGATAAAGCAACAAAAACTACAAGTTCATTCATAAAATTTTAATCTATTGTTTAGGGTTTGTTTTTCTCCACAAAACTATATCCCTGACCGCTGCTGACATTCGCCGGTCAACCTTGGCAAACTATTGGCAAACATCTATAATCTATCTATGTATGCATATCTGTGCGAAGTATTGGACACGCAGTAGTCTAAACAATAATAAATAATTAAAGATTTTAGTGAAATTTTTAATGCGTCAAATAATAAATATTTATCGTTAGTTTTCGTTATACCGCTCGAGCGTAATTTTTTAAACAATGTGCCACATTGAAGAACAAAGCGTATTGTTTTTGCACAGTTTTTATGATGGTTGTGCAAATGTTTAGAAATTTCGCTTTTACGACTAATATCGTGGGTAGCCATAATTTGATATATATGTATGTATAAACATATACGTATATATACATCATACTATATTATATTATAGTCTACGGCCTATTTAATTTTATTGTTGACAATTTTCAAATGTAAAACTTGGAAAAAAACCAGTCGTAGATTTGAAAACATGAAGAAGAAAAAGATTCCATCTAAAATCTAGGACAAATATTGGACTTTATACTCAACAAAAAAAGGCAGAATAACTTAATTAAAATATTAAATAAAACAGTTTGATAACGTTTTACAACCAATAAATTACTTACCGTTCGCTTTAATATTTTCCATTGCTTGCAAATCTTTCATTTTAAATTGAAAATCTTATTTTTCATATTTTTCATATAAACTCAGTTGAAGTTTCTATATTTTTCTTTTGTGTTTATTATACATAACTCATATATAAGTAGTAGATTTAGATAAAATACAAAATAACGTAGAGTAGACTACAAAGTACACATAGATGTAATTAAAGTCTAGCATTTACAGGGATCGTAAACATAATTACATACTTATATTGGATTTAATGATGTATATATTCAAAATATATATATATAGATAAGACAACACTTAGCTAGTAATTGGTCATATGTGGTATTATGTATATATATATATATATACCTCTATATAGTATAATTGTTTTGCACTTAGTACACTAAACATTTAATTCTACGTAATTGCATTAGTTGGTATCGTATTTAACGTATAAAGTAAGTAACGCGTACATCACACAATAAATATGTATACATATATATAAAACTACATATACATATAGATATACATTAAGAAAAAATTAATAATAAAAAACCATCGTTGCGGAAGACTAGAAAGGTAACACTAGTGGAAAGTCCGTTGACGTGTTTCTTTTTCTAAATGGATTACAATTAGTTTCATTTTTTTATTTATTCATTTTTGATTTTGGTTTTTTTCTCAAATTCGTACTACTTATGTAGTTATCTATATATATACATATATATATATGCATAGCAAAATTCGTCTATAGTTATTATAAAGGTATATTCCAATTTGGTTCATCATCGAACCAAATAACAAAATTTTGCTTCTTTTTTTGAGAAGTAACTTCTCGATTTCTACGAACAATATACGATCTCATAGATCTGAAAAATCCTTAAATTCCGAGACTGGCTAAAATCTTTGAGAGGGCAAACTACTGCGCTATGTCCAATGCGTGCAGACTTTCAATTTCTGGATCGAAATTGGCATCGCAATGGGACAACCAATCCCAAACGCGCCGTCGCACCATGGTCTGATCGATGGGGCCATCCAATCCGTAACTGGACATCATACGCTTGAAGCGCAATTTGTTCTCATCGCCAGAGAGGCGACCTTCGCGCTGATTGAGATATATGCACGAGTCCTGGTCATGTTGATTGGGTGAGATCAGCGTGGCCGACTTGGAGGCTGAGATGCGACACTCCACCCAGCGATCTTTCATGTATTTGGTCACCTCGGTGATCTTGCAACGATCCTCGGGATCATGGCTCAAATACTTGCGGAAGCAGCGCATTAAACGAGGCGAGAAGCGCCGGAAACTATCCGGCACTTTGGTCGTCTTGCGCTGTTCATATTTCATAAAATTGGAGTATGCCTGATCCTTAACCCAATCCGCTGACTGCCATGGGGGATTGCCGGTGAGAATGTTGTACAGCAGGATGCCAAACTGCCAGGAGTCGCTGATGGGCAAGCACTGGAAACGCTCGTTCTTGATCAGCTCCAGCTGCTCGGGCGGCACACAACTGGTCCACGTATGCTTCACCTTATGCACGAGCAGACCCTTCTTGGTCGTCGCCCCAAAATCGCAGAGCTTGACGCGCCCAAAGTCCGGCGTAAAGACCAAGACATTCTCAATCTTGAGATCACGATGCACCAGGTTCTTGGAGTGCATAAAACCCAGTGCAGAGCTCAACTGCTCCGCAACCAGTTTGCAGGCCGTCTCATGCAAACCATTTGGGCCAATGTTCGAGGCGAGATCACCATATGGAGCATGCTCCATGGCGAACACAAAGTAGTCCATGGTCTGAAAGGCGACCGCATAGGCGCTGAGTATGTGATGATGATGCGAGAGCTCATAGTTGTAGTGGAATTCCTTCTGGAACTCCTTGATGGTGGTCAGTTCCGCATGGACCGCCTTCAGCACCACGGTCGTATTGGTGGGCCTGTGCCGGCACAGCAAGATCTTGGCAAAGCAGCCCTCGGCCAGCGTCTTCTCGATATTGTACTGATCGCCGAATGTCATCAGTGGCAGTTCCACATCGGGTATCAAATGGATCAGACCCCCATCATTCTTATCGGGCTTCTTGTAAATGCTGCTGCGACGACTTACCGATGCACCAGGCACCTCCAACCTGCCGGTGCTGGTGCTGGTCGGAGTCAATGGGGTACTGCATCGCTTGTTGTTGTTGTGATTAGTACAGGTGCTGCTATTGTTGTTGCTGTTGCGGCTATTGGTGCTGCCACCATCGCCGAACGAGCGACGCAGCCGGAAAGAGAAGGAGCGTTTCTCTGCAAGAAGCAAAAAAGAAAAAGAAAAGAAAGAAAATTCTCAATAAAATTCTATGTTCATTTAATATTAAATTTAACTCACTTAAAATAGCTCAAAATACTGTAACTGAATTCAATTCTTGATTCAAAGCTATCCAATTATATTTATTATATCCATTGTTATATTTTGTATTTTTTCCATTTTAAATTATAATTTAATTATTAAATTATGATAGCGATTATTCCTCAGGTCTATCGCTTACATAAAATTATATGATTAATTATAAATACAAATTGCAAAAAATATGTATTTATATATTTTGTTCTATATTTCTTATCTTTTATCATCATATCCCTCATATTAGAACTCAATATTATATTCAGTATTTGTATAAAGTAAACTATTTTTACTTAAATATTTGTTTTCAATATGTGTTGCCTCAAGCAAATATGAATATCATTCACTGAAAAATGCGAAATTACTTCAAACGAGCCAATTGCAGTTTATCAAAACAATACCTTGACCTGTTCCCCCAACACCGCCCAGGTGCTTGGACACAGAGAGAAAGAGAAATTGTTTTCACACTTTGTCTGGGATTCGAGCCCCCACAAGCAGTAGCAGCTTGAAGTGGGCCCCTTATTAAATATTGGCCAAAATATTTGCATGTTTTTTATTATATTTATATTTGCATGTATTTGTTTATGATTTATTATCGACTTTTGATGTGAACATGTTGCTTTCTGCTTTTTATGTGCCATTATTGTTGGCGAGGAGAATTATTAATTTCGCAGCAAAATAAAAACATAGGAAATCGCTTTGTTTTACAGCCCTCAAAGAAACAACGCCCACGATGAATGAGACGACGATGTCGCCGAGTTGTCTGTGACAAAGTTAGTGCAAAATTTGCGTAGATTGACGCTGTTGATAATGCTCAGATCGGTGTGGCATAACTTATATAGCCAAAAGACGTCAGAGTCTTACGGTTAGTCACGATTCGAGTTTTGGATACCACATTTACTCGATACCCGCCTACCCATGCACGTTTGATTTAAAATTATTGCAAATTTATGGCCAGTGCGAAAAACCATTTGATTTGCGCTACAAATGAGACAGCAAATATACAAATAGATATCTATATATATATATATAGATTGTACAAATGCATATATGTATGTGGAACGGACTGGCTGGAATTCTGGCATCACACATTTATAGGGCGTGATCTGATTTGAGAGATCTGCTGCAATTTTATGTCGCCACCAATACCGATTTATTTCTGTAGGTATTTTTGGTATTGGAAATCTTAAATTTAATTGCTAGAAAAATATTTGGATTTTCACACAAATTATGGTTGAACAAGAAATGCAAATATTTGTATTGAGTAATATATGCGAGTGGCATTTAATTTATGGTTGTTTTTCATTGCTCGACAAATAATAATATGATAGTAGCTCTGAAAATATGTACGTGATGTATGAGGTGTTATTAAATGAATACAGCTGCATTCAGTTGCATATTTGAGTTGCGAATGTAAATTTATTATAAGGAAACTGAACAGCAACCGTCTGGATAGGAATTGTAAAAACAAACAGTTGTATTTTTGTCTTCAATAGCTGTATGTGTTTCTTTACTCAATTGACAGCATTTTCTTCTTAAAGTTTGTTCTTGTAATACTAATAATAATAATGATAATGAAAGATGTGAATTTGTTGCCAACAACATAATAGCATTATTAGTTTTCTCTTTAACAAACACAATGTGAATTTAATGTTAATTAACCATTAAGAAATTTAATCCTAAGCAGTATTTTTATCTTTAAATGTGCTAAATGTGTTCTTATAATATAAATAATTAGAATACATTTACCCTGAGCGATGATAACTGTCTATTTATAGGAACCAAATCAAATCCCATTAATTTCGCCGTCACGTATGCTTTTTTATTAGACAAACTTAATCCGTTTGAAAATCAGCTTTTTTACGATATAAAACAAGAGTCTCAATTAGCTAATAGATCAATCATATAATGACGTGCTAAACTAACTTGCGTCACAGCCAATGTGATGGCCAATCTGTGTGAAAAACTTGATCCCATTAACCCCTCAGCATGGGGACAACACTCATTGCTCATGTTGGGAGATCGAGCTAAAATGCTACTGGGACTACTACTGTTTTCTATTTGAAGTTCTATTTCCGTTCCAGAATTGATTGGCTCAAGGCCAGAACCCGGTAGACTGGCCATTGGGCAGTAGCAACTACAAATACACAATAAAAATGCGCGAGCCCCCTCAAAACAAAAGCCGGCGAGCTCGAAAACTAATTATAAACCATTAAGAACCATCAATAGAGATACAAAAGCCAACCGACTGCGTGAGCTCATAAATCAAACTTTCACTTTTGCTCACCGCCTCCTTCTGCTCCTTTCCAGCCCACCAATAGAAAATAGATATAAATGTTGTATGCCAATTATTGTTCAAAACGGCAAAAAAAATACAACAAAATTACATGCCAAGAATAGAAACCGTCAAAAGGGTCAACAAGCAAAATGCATTTCGAGCCGCTAAATTTAACAGGCTGAATTTCCTTACAAAACGCTGGGAGAAGCTATACAAAGAGTGGGTCAAACAGACAGACAGACAGACAGACATACAGTTAGCTCCAATTGTAAAATGCAATTGCAAACAACAACAATAACAACAACAACAATATCAACAACAACAGCAGCGCCAATGGCGTCAGGAGATCGACCTGCACAACGCATAAGAAATTGTTCAGATAGCAAGAGCAAAAAGATAAAGCAGAAAAAAACATTATTTGAAATGCCGAAAATTGTATACTCTTTTTATACGCATATAAATGAATGTAAATAATATTTAAAACATCAATTGAATATCTGATTCTAATTTTTTGTAGTGCATGTGCTAAACGACGAAATTGTGTACTTTTTTATACGTATTCAAATTAATTTGAGTAATAAAAAATAAATATTCTTAATTGAGATTACATTTTGAAAAAAATTTGTAATTCTAAAATTAGTTGAGCTTGGGGAGTCTTATTAAAAAAGAGGGGTTTTTATTCAGAAAATCAACTTTCACTCCAACTGAACAATCGTGTCACAATCTGCAACACGTAGCTGTGCCAACCCACTTGGCCAGTAAAAACAAATAGTGCAGTGCAGGGAAGGTGGCGCAGCATCAAATTGTATGACTGACTGCCAAAATGACTGTGTTTCGCACCACACCCCTGGCCAACCCCTCGTTCGCCAGCTCATCTCCCCCAGCCCCTGTACGCTGACATGGTACGGTTCGCTTTCGGTCCTCGCCTTGCCTGTTTGGCAACCCGCCCGCCACAGTTTGCGACTTTGGGGGCATTGCTGACGTCAATCGGCAAGTCGTTGTCGGTCGGCGTGCCACATAGACAAACGCACACACACACACACACACACACATATATATATATATATATAGATATATACGCATATATATCAATGTGGCTGCTGCGTATAGATGAGGCAGCCGTGCGGGCGTCTTCCAACAAGATTGTTGTTTGATTATCGTAAAAATAATACCTAAAGGCACGCATATATACAATGCTCATGATCGGCTAGAGTTCTGAGGGGGTTGGTTGGAGATTATTGTGCATGATGATGATAAATTGGCAAAGTCCGAGCAGGTCGTACTCAAGACTCTACACACAGAACGTCGTCGTTGGCCGTGCTGTCTACGATATTGAGCTGGCCAGACAATTATGTAGCTGCCCCCCACTCCATCTACGTTATACTATACATGTATATATATATATATATATATATATATCATGCGTTGGGTCGTGTGCTCTACAACAAATTTGCTACAATTGATTTGACTTTATGGCGCAATCAGATCTACTTTGAAATGTAGCCAAACCAATGTTTTGTTATCTTCGATGTGGTCCATTAAACATTGATTAAGCATAATTTGCATAGACAACATAAACCATAAGAGCTAAATTCCCCTTGGCCTCTCCGACCAGTAGTCTGATTATATTAAAAAGTGTTTCAATGCCTGTACGCTCTTTTTTACACCTCGGCTGTTTATAATTAAAATAATTAGGTCAACAAAAGTTTTTGTTACATTTACAAATGTTGTTTGCAACTTGAACATCTTTTTGCTTTTATTGCTATGGAAGTGATTACGATTTTAGCAGCTCATTCTTTAAATTTTAAGCGCAATAAGTTATATTTTTAATTTTTCAAAGTATTTTACGAGCAGCCCTCAAATTTTATTTCCAGTCGAAAGGCTGAAAAATCTCCACTTGTTGAATGTGTGATTTTTGAAGGATAGCTCTCTTGAATGAACTTAAACTGTATAAAGAAAGATTATGTTAAAGCTTATCCAATATTATTGGCAAATTTGTTGAGATATTTGGTACACTAAAGTATTTTTTAATAACATTGGTTTTCGTTTTGAGTTAATTGCCCAATATTATTAGGTAAACTTTTGGAATATTTATAATAGTAAAATGTTGCTTAATAGTCTTTACCCAATATGCATTTTGCTTATAAATATAGCGTGTTCAGTGCCCGCTAGACATAATTTTAATAATATAGCTCGCTTTTTCAACAAAGTCTTCCTTCTGCGCATTTGCGCTTACTAAAAACAACAATATAATAAAATTAAATATATAAAGCGAGTGTAAAACGAAATTTCCGTTGCGCCCACAACAAAAACAAAAGAGAAAAGAAATACAAAACAAAAAAAAAATAATAATAAATAAGCAAACACAAAAAAATATTCAAAATAAAACAATATTATTTAAATATACAATAGAATGAACAACACAACTTGTATATATATTCATGTATATTGTTTAATATAACATATTTTCGTTGTTGTATATGTTTGTTGTGTGCATATTGAGGCGTTTTTTGTGCCGACGAAACAAAAGAATGAAATAGAATTTTTATATATCTAATTGAATATCTTTTTGTTTTGCGTTTGTATTTATAAAACACGATTAATCCGTCGATTGCTTGGCAGTTG